GGTTTCACCATATTGACCAGGATGGTCTCGATCTCTTGACCTTGTGATCCACCCACCTTGGCCTCCCAAAGTGCTGGGATTACAGGCATGAGCCACCGCGCCCGGCCGCGGGTTTGTTCTTTTACAAAAAATTGCATCCTCCTACTCTTATACATAATTCTTGATATCTTTTTGTTTGTTTTTTGATACGGGGTGTCATGCAGTTGCCCAGGCTGTAATGCAGTATTGTGATCATAGCTCATTGCAACCTCAACCTCATGGGTTTAAGGAATCCTCCCACCTCAGCCTCCCGAGTAGCTAGGACTACAGGCATGCACTGTCACACCCATCTAATGTTTTTATTTTTTGCAAAGATGGGGTCTCACTGTGTTGCCCAGGTTGGTCTCAAACTCCTAGGCTCAAGCAATCCTCCCAGAGGGCTGGGATTACAGGTGTGAGTCACCACGCCCATCCAGATTTCCTATTTCAGCTGTTGTAAATCTACCTCATTCTTTTGAAAAGATGTAGAATTTTCCATATATGGAGATACTGTAGTTTATTCTTAAGACCCAACTGATGAACATTAAAGGTACCTTCAGTTTATTATTAGAAAGTTTAATGAATATTGTTGTATTTAATCCATATATTATATATTCGATCCTTGTGCACTTGTACAAGTATTTCTTCATGATGGATTCCTAGAGAAGGGCCTGCTGAGGCAGTGAGTTTGTGCATATTAGACTATGGTGTGTTGCATATTTCTTTCAAGAGTGTGCCTCAGTTTACACGCCCATAAGCAGTGGAGATAAGGATGTTATTTTTCTGTCATCACTTGATAATGCCAGTATTTTTAAACAATACAAGTGTTAGAATTAGAAATTACAAATTTTTAGGAAACCACTGAAACTATTTTAATCTTGTAATTCTAGAGTGGAGTGGCTGCTATACATTTCAGAATTCATTTTAGGCCATAACATAAAAGTACTAGTCTTTAAAATGACTGTAAGAGACATTTAAATCTGTTACAGTGTTCTGAGTCAGTGTAGTATTTGTTGGCCCAGATATTTATCAGATGCTATAAGAAAATACAACACATTATATCAATCAGTGCTTTAGAGTAATTATTACTGATTGTCAATATGATCATGTGAGCATTGCTAACGGCACAACTAAGTTGACTGGACCCATAAAGAAGAAAATGTAATCCTGGGTCACAAAGCCTGAGTGTATCATATGAGAGTGGGGAAAGCAAACAATTCCTCTTCTGTTTCCATATTCACTACTTCTCAGATGTAATTGTCTAACATTATTTCCCCCCCCCCGAGGCAGAGTCTCACTCTGTTCCCCAGGCTGGAGTACAGTGGTACAGTCTCGACTCACTGCAGTCTCTGCCTCCCAGGTTCAAATAATTTTCGTGCTTCAGCCTCCTGAGTAGCTGGAATTACAGTCATGTGCCACCGCACCTGGCTAACTTTTTTAGTTTTAGTAGAGACAGGATTTCACCATATTGGCCAGGCTGATCTTTAACGCCTGACCTTGGCCTCCTAAAGTACTGAGATTACAGGCATGAGCCACCGCTCCTGGCCTTACTTTATCTTATATTCAGTGTTGTCCTCTTTCCTAGAGAGGCATCAAACTTACTTGGTGACAGAACCTCACCTGAATGGATGTGAGGTATGTATTGTCTTTATCCAGTTGAGTAAGACTGTCGGACTTAGTGTTTTGCGGCAGACACAGTACTGAGGACTGAGTTTGATTAAGAGTGCTGCCCCAACCCTGCAGAGGATCATGTAGTATGTAGCATGTATTCAAAGAAAATCTGAAAAATGCTAAATTCCACAATACATCTGGCCCCAAGGAGAAAGAATAACTTTTATAAAATGGGACAAAAATACAAGATCAACTATTTTATTCTTGGCCCTCAACTTGGACATTGGCTTTCTTTTGTTTCAGTGACACAAATGAAGTTGATGTGCCTTTGAATACCAGGGTGGGCACCAAACGCTACATGGCTCCAGAAGTACTGGATGAAAGCCTGAACAAAAACCACTTCCAGCCCTACATCATGGCTGACATCTACAGCTTTGGCCTGATCATTTGGGAGATGGCTCGTCGTTGTATCACAGGAGGTAGGAGTTTGAGTAGTTTCTCATTATATTTATTTACCCATCATTTAAAAAATAACAGCTACAGTTATATAATTTATTTTTTAATTTTCTGTGGGCACATAGTAGGTCTATATATTTATGGGGCAAGGGGATATTTTGGTACAGGCATGCCATGTGTAATAATCACATCATGGAGAATTGGATATCTATCCCGTCAAACATTTATCCTTAGTTTCACCAACCATTTATACTCCTTGAGTTATTTTTAAGTGTGCAATTAAGTTATTACTAACTTTAGTCCCCACTGTTACACTATCAAATACCAGGTCTCATTCATTCTTCTATTTTGTTTGTACTCATTTAACATCTGCCTGCCTGCCCCCTGCTACCCTTCCCAACCTCTGGTAACCATCCTTCTATTCTCTGTCTCCATGAATTCAGTTGTTTTGATTTTTAGATCTCACAAATAAGTGAGAACATGTAAAGTTTGTCTTTCTGTCCCTGGCTTAGTTTACTTCAAATAATGACCTCCAGTTCCATCCATGTTATTGCAGAAGACAGAATCTCATTCTTTTTTATGGCTGAATACTTCATTGTATATAGGTGCCACATTTTCTTGATCTGTTCATCTGTTGATGGTCACTTAGGTTGCTTCCAAATCTTGCTTAGGGTGCTGCAGCAAACATGAGGGTGCAGATATCTCTTCAGTTTGCTGATTTCCTTTCTTTGGGTATATACCTAGGGGTACAATTGCTGGCAGTTATGTAATTTAGATGTCACATATGTCAGAGTCTCCAAGACTGCCCTCAAGTTGTGCAATTTCACTTGAAAGAGCTCAGGACTTGGCATTTGGTTGTCCCCATGGCTAACATTTATCCCAGTGAAAGGATACAAATCAAAATCAGCCAAGGTCAGAAAACCAGGTGAGGCTTCCCAGAGTCCTGCCCTGTCGAGTCGGCATGCTTCATTCCTCCCACAAGTTGTGACAACACATACAAAGTGCTCTCTCATCTGGGGAAGCTCCTTAGAGACTTGGTGCCCAGAGACTTTACTGGAGGCGTCCTCTGCCTGACAGGTACCAGAGGCGTCCTGTAGAACGTCCCATAGGCGTCCTCTGCCTGACAGGTACCAGAATTCCAGAAGGAAACCAGACATGCAGTACACGCCACATTGTTTGCAGAAGCAGCCCAGGGGTGGTGAGCCACCCTCATCGTTGTGGCGAAGTTTTACATCCATGTAGGGAACTGTTTACCATTCGTGTACCCAGGCACTGGCCAAGGCCAAATCTTGCAAGCCGGCCTTTCCTAAGGGAAGGTTTCAGACTTGCTGTGTGAACCTTTATCTGCACCTCATAAGTCTTTCTAGAAACTGCAGAGCAAAATGAAACAAAATAATAAAAACTATTCATTAGTAGGAACAACCATGTAAGTAAATAATTAGATTATACTTTAGGGTAAATGGCTGATTTCGCCTTGCGTATTTTTTTTAAGTAAGATTGGAATGCCCTTTGTTGATAGACTCTATCACAGATGTGATGACATCCCTAATGGAGGTAGGGAAATAGTTGGACATAAATAAGAGGAAAACATACATCTATTAAGAGTGAATCATCGTGTCTGTATTTTTTTTTGTCTAAGAATCTATAGTTCTATAGTTTAGCAAGAGATCCTTAATAGATTGGTGTACTTTGTCCAGCAATCATTTTTGTGCCCATGTTTTCTTCCTAACAGGGATCGTGGAAGAGTACCAATTGCCATATTACAACATGGTACCGAGTGATCCGTCATATGAAGATATGCGTGAGGTTGTGTGTGTCAAACGTTTGCGGCCAATTGTTTCTAATCGGTGGAACAGTGATGAAGTGAGTGGAACTCAGTCTGCTGAAGAAGTGATTGGTAAATGCCACCAAAGATATTCTCTGCTCACTATATTCTCTTTACTTTTCAGTGTCTACGAGCAGTTTTGAAGCTAATGTCAGAGTGCTGGGCCCACAATCCAGCCTCGAGACTCACAGCATTGAGAATCAAGAAGACACTTGCCAAGATGGTTGAATCCCAAGATGTAAAAATCTGACGGTTAAACCATGGGAGGAGAAACTCTAGACTGCAAGAACTGTTTTTACCCATAGAATGGATGGAATTAGAGTGGAATAAGGATGTTAACTTGGTTCTCTGACTCTTCACTATGTGTTCACAGGCTGCTAATATTAAACCTTTCAATACTCTTATTAGAATACAAGCTGGGAACTTCTAAATACTTCATTCTTTATATATGGACAGCTTTTAAATGTGGTTTTTGATGCCTTTTTAAAAATGGGTTTTTATGAACTGCATCAAGACTTCAATCCTGATTAATGTCTCCAGTCAATCTCTGGGTACTGAATTGCCTGTTCATAAAACGGTGCTTTCTGTGAAAGCCTTAAGAAGATAAATGAGTGCAGCAGAGATGGAGAAACAGACTTTGCCTTCTACCTGAGACATTCAGCACGTTTGTATTCTACCTTTGTAAAACAGCCTATAGATGATGATGTGTTTGGGATACTGCTCAGTTTATGATAGTTTGTCCTGCCTTCCTTAATGATGTGTGTGTGCACTCACATGCACGCCAGGATTCCTCTGCTGCCATCTGAATTAGAAGAAAATAATTTATATGCATGCACAGGAACATATTGGTGGCCGGTGGTTTTGTGCTTTAAAAATGCAATATCTGACCAAGATTCGCCAATCTCATACAAGCCATTTACCTTACAAGTGATAGCTTCCCCACTAGCTTTATTTTTTAATGTGAAAGGATACAAAGGCCAAAAGAAGTTTAAAGCATCTGTAAATTTGGACTGTTTTTCTTCTACCACGATTTTTTTTGTAGTCGTTATTTTTGTCATGGAAAGCATCCTCTCCAAAGTTGGAACTTCCAATGCCATGAACCATGCTTACTAAGAAAGCACTTCTTATTGAAGTGAATTCCTGCATTTGATAGCAATGTAAGTGCCTATAACCGTGTTCTGTATTCTTTATTCTCAGTAACTTTTAAAAGGGAAGTTATTTATATTTTGTGTATAATGTGCTTTATTTGCAAATCACCCACTCCTTTATAACCGTACTTTATATATGTACATACATTCATACTGTAGAAGCCAGCTCATGTGTACCTCACATCCCATCCTTAAGGGAAGGAATGTTATAAGTAGAACTAAATATGGATTTTGAGAATTAATGCATTCAAAGTAATATATCAAATCCAGGACTTTGTTAACTTCAGGCAAAAACTTCATTAGGGTAATATCATCTCAGTTTTTCTAAATGAAAGGATTCTCTAATTAGAAATTCATATGTCAGAACTGTTATAAATTTATCAACTGTTAAATATGTCTTGAGATTTTTTGTTTTTTGATTTGTTTCCTAACTTGTGAAGACAATGAAAAATCAGGCAGAAATATTAAGTATGTAGTCACTATCTGTAGTTACACTGTATAACTTTTTCAATAAAATGGTACATATTTTATAGATGCCTTGTTATCTCAAGAAATAATTCTGGTTTACATGAACTTATTAAACTTCTGTAATGCCTTTTAAATATTAATCTCCTAGTCTGAGCATACAACTCACGGGTACATCAAGTGAGATCATTTTCTTTGATTATAACATAAATGTGATTATATCACAACATAGTTAAAAAGGTTTAAATTAAACGGGAGGAAATTGGCATGTGTCCACCCATTACCAAAATTTGACTTTCATTTAAGGCTAAAACTTAAAAATTTGTATGTACATCAAATCTCACAAATTTGAAACTCGCCTTAACCATTTTTTAATAAGGTTCATCTACCATAATTAAAGTCTGAAGTGGTTATCAAGATAAATAAATTGGCATATGGCTAATACCCAGTAACACTTTTTCAGAGTTTTTCCCCATATGTATACTGAGAAATAAAAATATTTTAATCTAAGTTGCTATGTGATTTGATCACACTTAGAACATCCAAATTACTTAAAATTAACCTTGGTTTACTTTTGACTTGATACCATAAGTCTTTAAAATCATTTATCTTAATAAAATATATAATGACAGGCAAATTTTATTCTTGGAAATGTTCAGATGGTATATGGATGCAAAAAATTACAGCCAGTATATGAGCCCACTATTACGGTTTTTAAAAATTAACTTGGTCTAGTAAAAGTGATATCAAGAGTTAACCTTTAGAAACTTGTTCAGTAACTACATTTTCTGGTATAACGTTCTTTAAAAAGCAAGTCTGCCATCTTTAGAATCTTAAAAATCTAAAAATGTTGCATTAAACTTAGTTTTTGTCTCTCTACTCTTATTCTTAAATCTGAAGTCATTGAGTAAGTGAAATATTTAAAGAATAGACCAGCAAGAAGTATTATATAGTACCATAGTTAGTAAATTTGTAAAACCCTGGAAGCCATTATTTGGTCCCATTTGCAATTTAGTGTTTTTAAAATGTGTAGCTTCATTCAGATACCTCTTTAAATCATTAAAATATAAAAGCAAACAAAAACCCCAGACTACCTGACTATAAACAGCAAAAGTTAACCGTCAAAGAGAGTTCTCCTTGTGAACTATCTTTATGCTGGCAAAGAGCTCTAGGATTATAGGCACATTAGGGTTTGCTCCAGTTTGTTTATCCTAAGCTGTTACTGTGCTTTCTTATCGAACAAGTTTCTGATGTATAAAACTTGAATCCGATTTCTTGGGAAATATTTTCACAAAAATTGTTTTACTATTTTACATTTCCTTTCCAGTGCCCAGAAGTGTTTCTAAACTTAGAAAGTGACCTATAGTTTTTTAAAATTATGTTTTCCTAGAACATGCCAGATTCTGATTTACTCAATCAATACTTTTTTTCAGATGCTTTGTTCTGTTTAGAACAAAAATGCACTATAGTTTTTAAAAAGTCATTCATTTTATAAAACTGACACACACTTCTGTAGATGTTGTTTTGAAATGTTTCTAAATATCTAAAATTATTTCAACAGCAGAAATACTGATTTTTATTTTAACAAAAAAATTATTATAGCCCTCGTAATGTTTAAAGTAGTCGTATTTATTACTGACTTGAGTCAGGCATTAAAATAGCAGTGCCACAGCTCATCTCTTGCCTCAGTGCTGCTGTGAGAGTCACAGCAGAAACTAAAGGGAGGAGGCGCATTCATAAGAACCAAAATCCAGGGCAGCATCCTGTGAAGCCACGTGTAATGATGGTCTCATAAGGAAAGTATGTGAATATGGCTCTTGCAAAGGATTAAATCTTGTAATTTTTAGCTTATGCTCTGTAGCCTGCTTTCTAGGGAATTATTTAAGCCCTTTTAGTGACCTTTGTCCTGACCCATTTAAAAACTAAAATGTAGTGTATATTGTATATTATAGCTTCATTAGGGAAAACTGTACATAGGCATTGAAAGAAGGGTAAAAGCAAGCAGTTTTATCATGCAATTGTAAAACACCAAAAATGTAGATTTGTCTTTGATATGTAACACACTAAATGTATTTTGTACAGCATCTGGTTTCAAAGGTGCCTTACTAAGTTTACTATTACTTGCTTTGTTCTATATACAGATTATGTCCAATGTATCATTTTTAAGTAAATAACCTTATTTTAGTACACTTTAGTAATGTGTTTTGTGATGCTACACTCAGATGGTATTGTGCATCAGAAGTCGTCTGTTGAGATTTTTATCACAAGTAAGTTAGTGTACATACATAAGTTCCTGAGATGTGCACTTCAGCTACCAGAAGCCCAGTATGGGGCACAGGTAGGTACACACTTGCCTTTGTGTAGATCGAGAACTCTTAAACCTGTATTATACTGCAGGGTTTTTTCCTTTGAGAAACAACACAAGGCCAGGCGCTGTGGCTCATGCCTGTAATCCTGACATTTTGGGAGGCTAAGGCGGGTGGATCACGAGGTCAGGGGACTGAGACCATCCTGGCTAACACAGTGAAACCCCGTCTCTTTAAAAAAAATGAAATAAAAAGACAAAACATTTCTTTTTTTCTTTTTTTTGAGACAGAGTTTTGCCCTTATTGCTCGAGGCTGGAGAGCAATGGCACGATCTCAGCTCACTGCAACCTTTACCTCCCGGGTTCGAGCTATTCTCCTGCCTCAGCCTCCTGAGTAGCTGGAACTATAGGTGTCTGCCACCACACCTGGCTAATTTTTTGTATTTTTAGTAGAGACAGGGTTTCACCACGTTGGCCAGTCTGGTCTTGAACATCTGACCTCAGGCGACCCACCTGCTTCGGCCTCCCAAAGTGCTGAGGTTACAGGCATGAGCCACTGTGCCCTACCAAAATGTTTTCTGATTATGAAAACGTACTCGTGGCAGAAAATTTGGGAAACAGGAAAGAATAAAGCAAATAAAAATCACTCAAAATCCTATTGCCAGGCATTACCACTATGTACGTTTGAGTGTTTCTTTTCATTCTTTTTTTTTTGAGACAAGAGTCCTGCTCTGGCGCCCAGGCTGATCTTGCCTCAGTGCAACCTCTGCCTCCCAGGTTCAAGTGATTCTCCTGCCTCAGCCTCCCACGTAGCTGGGATTACAGGCGTGCCTCACAATGCCCGGCTAATTTTTGTATTTTAGTAGAGACGGGGTTTCATCATGTTGGCCAGGCTGTTCTCAAACTCCTGACCTCAAGTGATCCACCCGCCTTGGCCTCCCAAAGTGGAGATTACAGGAGTGAGCCACCTCACCTGGCCTCATTCTTTCTTATGTTGCATTTTTTGTGATATTAAAATCCTAGTATGCCATTAAATAGCCATTAAGAACATTTTTTTTAATGACTACACAAAATTCAACCAAGTACATGGAGTCATTTCTGTGTTCAACCCCCTGTTGAATGTTTGGATTATTCTCATTGTTTTTGAAAAACAGATATTGAACATCCCTATACATAAATCTTTATTTTCTTATATTACATTTCTGAAAATAGGACTAGTGGATGTGAACTTTTAATAGATCCTTTGTTTAAGATGGGAAAAGTCTAAGGTTCTTGGAAAACATTGCCATATTGGTGTCCACAAAGCTTTTCATTTTCATTCCTGCTGGCAGTTCATGAGGCTAGAGTAATGGGATGCATTTACTTGGCCTTCAGGTGCTCCTGCTGCAGTGGGAAGTGGAGCCTTGGAGAGCTTTCCTCCTGCTGGGCAATACTGTCTGGTCATTTCCCCACCTGTGCTGAGTCCCACCGTCTGTTTTCAGGTGTGTGTGAATTCATCCCAGCAGACTGCCTTCTGCTGCCTTTTCCTAGGAAACTGAACATGTTAAGTCACAGACAAGATGTGGCACAGGTTAATGTTCCTCAAATGTATGTTTGGAGATAGCCTGTCACAGATGCCTGACGGGAGTCTCTGTTCAGTGTCATTGTAAGAGTCTCAGAATAACCGCAGGTGCTGTGATGCAGCCTGGTAAAGAAGACTCGGTGATTTCTGGGGCCTGTGGATGCTTGCCAGCTTTCTTCTGTCTGTGGAAACAATAAATGTATTCATTTCTTCTTTCCAGCAATCTGTTGGTCTCACTGCTCCATTCCAAGGTTTCTTTAGTATTATTAGTAGAGCAGACAGTAAGAAACAGAACTGTCTAGTCCTTGTTCTTCCAGAATAGGTTTAATCTTTGTGTTTCAAGCAGACACAATATCAGTTATTAAGTCTTCATTCACTTGGAGAAACATTTGTCTGCTGATTCTAGTGCATTGACCGTTTCTGACATGTCATCCTTATATTAAATTAGGCGCATGCTCCTACACAGCCTTGGCTCCACCCTTGGAGCACACAGTCTTGACTGGGTGGACATGATCCACTGACAGCGGTCAGTCAGCAGTGAGCAGAGGCCACCTGTCAGCGGCACCGTTGCAGGCATGGAGACTTAAATGTGTGAGTGCCGGTACCAGCAGAAGTGAGAAAGTCACCTCAATGCTGTGATCCAGATGGCAGCTTAGTTCAAGTGCAATGGCACATATAAAAAATATTGTTGGATGGGAACAAGGACTAGGGCTAAAAGGTTAATCCATAATAACTTTTTCTTTTTTGAGATGGAGTCTCACTCTGTCACCCAGGCTGGAGTGCAATCCCAGCTCACTGCAATCCCCACCTCCCAGGTTCAAGCAGTTCTGCCTCAGCCACCCGAGTAACTGGGATTACAGGCGTGCACCATCATGCCCAGCTAATTTTGTATTTTTAGGAGAGACAGGGTTTCACCATGTTGGCCAGGCTGGTCTCAAACTCCCAACCTCAGGTGACCTGCCCACTTCAGCCTCCCAAAGTGCTGGGATTACAGGCATGAGCACCGCACTTGGCCTGTCATCTCCCTTTGACGTAGGAATTGTTAATTCACATTTTTTGATGGAACATTTGTAGCCTACCTATTGCTCCTCTGAATCTTAGAAGCTTCTTGGTCTGTGTTCAAATGAAATCTAAGTCCATTCCAGATCTCTCAATCTCCCTACATCCTCAGTGCTCATATCCTAATTTTTTTCTTTTTTAGGGAGTCTCACACTGTCACCCAGGCTAATGTGCAGTGGCTGTTCACAGGCACAATCATAGTGCACTGTAGCCTCAAACTCCCGGCCTCAAGCCATCCTCCCACCTCAGCCTCCTGAGTAGCTGGGACCACAGGTGCATGCCACCATGCCTGGCTCATATGCTAAACATTATGCAGGAAGCTTGAAGTGTTACCATCATCTAAAAATCAGTATGGAATGTTTATATTGAAAAAAATTTCGGCCAGGTACGGTGGCTCACACCTGTAATCCCAACACTTTGGGAGGCCGAGGTGGGCAGATCACCTGAGGTCAGAAGTTTAAGTGCAGCCTGGCCAACATATAGTGAAACCGCATCTCTACTAAAAGGCACCACACCACAGATGTGGTGGTGCACCTGTAGTCCTAGCTACTTGGGAAGCTGAGGCAGGAGAATTGCTTAAACGCTGGAGGCAGAGGCTGCAGTGAGCTGAGATCGAGCCACTGCACTCCAGCCGGGGCAACAGGGCAAGACTGTCTCTCAAAACATACATTTTTTTCAAGTAAGGTGAAGAAAAAAAAAATGGGCTCCAGCCTGGGCAACAGGGCAAGACTCTTTCTCTCAAAACATGTATTTTTTTCAAGTGAGGTGAAGAAAAAAAAATGGGCCCCCATTGTTTTTCTTTAAGGGAGGAACCATTTTTAAAAGCCCATTTAGAATCCAGATGATATCTGTTGCTCTACTGTGTGACTGAAACGCAGGTAAGTGTTGAAAAACAAAAAATTGGAAGTCTCCACCAAAAGATCTACACTGCTGTGGGGGCGGATTTTAATCAGACATTTTAAAAGCAATTTTTATTACTTGATCCTGTCCTCATACTTGACTAGGAGTTTGGCTGGAGATTCTAACTCTAAGATGATCCTCCATGATCATCTAGCATCCCTTGTTGCCAGCGAGAAGCCTGATGTGGATCTAGTAAGTGACATGTTATGCAGGTTAACTTATTTTCAAGAAATAGAATTTTCTTTTTTTTCTTGATGCTGGAAGTTGAAACTGGCCATATCTAAATTATATTCATTCTGTTACTTAGTACTAATTGGGTCTTGTTTTTAGACCTGGGAAATTTTCTACCATTATTACTTTGTTTCTTCCCTTTTTTTTTTTTTTTTTATTTTTTTTTTTTTTTTTCTTTTTTTTTTCTAGAACTTTCTAGAACAAATCTCAGGTTCCCTGGATGTTTCTTCCATATTGTTACCATGCTTCTCATACGTTTCATTTTGCCTTCTACTTTGTCAGCCCATCTGAGTTTATTTCAACAGCCAAATGTTTTAACTTTACTTTGAAATGATTCCAGGCTTCCAAAAAAAGTTTCAGGAATAGTATAAAAACTGCCATTTGCCCTTCACCCAGATTCATAAACTGCTAACATTTTGCACCATTGCTTTGTCATCCTGTGTGTGTGTGCAGGAATCACAGAGGCTACTTTGTGATGTTTGTGATGTTCGTGTATTGTGTATGCACACAGTTTTTTGTGACCTATTTGAAGTAAGTTACAGAACTGATGCCCCTTTATCCCTAAATACTTCAGTGATGTTCTATTAGCCAATTATGCACAATTAACAGGACCAGGAAAATTCACACTGATACCATAGCAGTGACCAATACCCTAATCTACCGAGCTTACTGAAATTTTGCTAATTGTTATTTTGGTATGGTTGGGTTTTTTGTTTGTTTGTGATAGGGTCTCACTCTGTCACCCAGGCTGGGGTACAGTAGTACACTCACAGCTTACTACAACCTCAAACTTTGGGCCTCAAGTGATCCTTGGGCCTCAGCTTCCCAAAGGGCTATGATTACAGGCATGAGCCACCAGGCTGGCCTCATTTCCCCTTTCCTTCTCCAGGATTCTGGCTTTCCTTGCCCCATTCATCCATCTCCATCACCCCGTAAGAGAGCTGAGTCGCTGTCAAGGCAGGTTTGGGGAGGTTTCTTGATGAAGGCAATGGAAGGAGGGTGCTCGGGCTGCAGTGGGGAGAGCTTTTCGTTTTTGAGCTAAAGAGATAGGGTGCAGAGGCTGAGAGAAGGAGTTCTAAGAAACTTGTCGTGAGCTCTGTAGCCTCTTCACACTGCTTCTGAGTAAAATCTCACAGAAGTGACTTTGACATTATGTTGTGGTTTCTGGAGGTCTTGGGACTGGCCCCTGTGGGTTGGTAAGGGCATACTTGTCAGGATATGTGGGCTCCCCGCTTCCAGAGGCCCAGCAGCTGCCAAGTACCTGGAGCTTGGGGCTGATGACAGGGCTGGAGTTCTGGCACAAAGTGACCCTAAGTGTGTTTTTGTTTTATTTTTTTCCTTGTGATGGTGGAACTGTTTTAGGGTTTTTTTTTTTTCCAACTTTTATTTTAGACACGGGCTACATATGCTGGTCTGTTACCTGGGTGTGTTGTGTGGTGCTAAGGTTTGCGGTATGAATGATGCTGTCACCCAGATGCTGAACATAGTACCCAACAGTTAGTTTTTCAACCCTTGCCTCCCCCAAATGTTTCAAGGGCTGGGTTTGAGTTTGGGGCTCCCCCCAAAGCACTCCCATCTCCCCAGCAGTCTCACATGTTTGGGGTCATGATTTCCTGTTGCTGTTTCATTTCAGACCTGATCCCTTGTTTCTATTTTTCAGAAATTACCCAAATTTCCTGATGTACTTACAGTGCTGTCTCTTGTTTTACAATATTTGGGGATTTTTAAATATTTTTCCATATCAGGTTTTGGGGGTACCACCGTGTGCTCCATCCATTGTGGTGTTCCGGGTGCCGCAGTGAGGGTACTGACCACTGGTCTGGGTAACGGGGGTCCACTTGGAGGACAGGAGGAGCCTCCACCCAGGCAGAGACAAGAAGTCTATCAATCAGATGAACTTCAGAATTCTTGCTAATCTGGGGTCCTAATTATAGGACTGTTTAAACACATATTTTGCGCTTAAACTTGATGTTAAGTTTTCTGAAATGTAGTTATATATGTTTTGTTGAATGTAAAAATACCCTGTCTAGAAGAACCATTATTTCTCCAGTTCTCATCCCAGAAACTTCTGGAGTGACGCATCCATGCTGTTGGCAGAGCTTACCCATTAGCACTTTCATTAGACAAGTACCCATTATGGAGGGGATCAATTCACTTCACTTACTATGGGCAGTAAGTTCCAAAGGATAAGACCGCATTACCTAATGTTTCAACTGTTATCAGCAGAGCCTGGCCAGTAACTGCACAATTGAGCAGAAAGAAGGCACAGCATGGTCTACAGCAGCAAGGGTCACCTGCTGCTGGGCTTCTTCTAATCTTTGTTCTGGTGTGGCCAACTGCTTCATGCCTTGGTGCAGTACTGGTCTTGGCAACTGAGAGCTGCACTAGGGGTGGGTGATATTTAAACCTGTGGTTAAGATAAAATGCCAGAGGCCAGGAGCAGTGGCTCACGCCTGTAATCCCAACACTTTGGGAGGCTGAGGTAGGTGGATCACTTGAGGTCAGGAGTTCGAGACCAGCCTGGCCAACATGGCGAAAACCTGTCTCTACTAAAAATGCAAAAATTAGCTGAATGTAGTGGTGGGTGCCTGTAATCACAGTTACTCAAAAGCCTGAGACAGGAGAATTGCTTGAGCCCAGGAGGCGGAGGTTGCAGTGAGCCAAGATCACACCACTGCACTCCAGCCTGGATGACAGAGCAAGACTCCATCTAAAAAAAAAAAAAAAAAAAAAAATCAGAATACCTAATGAGAGCTGTAAGATCAACCATCTCACACTACAGACAAAGTTCAAGAGAGGTTGTGACTTACCCCAGGTCAAACATGAGTCAGCAGCGTGGCCTGGCATACTGTTCCTTTTAACACTGATGTTTTATTTGACACATTGAATGCACAAAACTTAGTACTAAATAAATTCTGAGGAACAAGTGAACTAATGATTCCTAGAAAACAATGAGAAGTGCTAGTAACCTTGTTAACGCCAACAAGCAACTCGCTACCAAGTTCAATCTGATTTTCTTTTCTTCCTTTCTTTTTTTTTGAGACAGTCTCGCTTTGTCTATAGTGTGCAGTGGCGCAATCTCGGCTCACTGCAACCTCTGCCTCCCAGGTTCTAGCGATTCTCTTGCCTCAGCAATCTGATTTTCTTATGGAGAAGACTATATTCAACAAACTTTGAGTACCTAATACCAAAACAACACTTGATTTTCGGATAGCTGGATGACTGCTTTCTTAGGCCAGTTTGCTCTAGGATCTGAAATTTTTTGAAAACCATATGCTGGTATATTACAGGAATAATTGCAATTACAAGCTGTAGTGTCTAGTACAGTGTTAGCGTCTTTGCCTAGTGTGGAAGCCTCCGAGTATTTTATGTAGAATGAACTGAAATCATTCTATGTAACAGGGCCTGGAATAATCAAAGTCACATTTACCCACGTAGTTTCACGTTCTATATTTCTACTTACTCTACCAATTATTTTTGCTCTCCAGAAGTAAGTGAGGCAGAGATTTGAAGGGCATCGCTTTATTCCAAAGTTGATCATTATTGAGGGGGATTTTTACAGTCTTCCTTCCCTCCTCCCTCAGCTTCCTCCTTGTTAGAGATGCTAACAAGAATAACCATGGTCCTAAGATACTGGAGGAAGTAAAAGAGGTGAAGGCCGTGCACATTTCAGTTCATGTTTGGCATGTCTTGGCCTTCACCCTCTGTGAGGCAAGGAGACAAAGACGTGAAGTTAAAATTATAGATAAATACCAGTGTATTAGTCCGTTTTCACACTGCTATAAAGAACTGCCTGAGACTGGATAATTTATAAAGGAAAGAGGTTTAATTGACTCATAGTTCCTCATGGCCAAGGAGGCCTCAGGAAACTTACAATCATAGCAGAAGGTGAAGAGGAAGCAAGGCACCTTCTTCACAAGGTGGCAGGAAGGAGAATGAACAGAGGGAACTACCAAACACTTATAAAACCATCAGATCTCATGAGAACTCACTGTCATGAGAACAGTGTGGGGGAACCGCCCCCATGATCCAGTTACCCCAACCTGGCCCCTCCCTTAACATGGGGGGATTGTGGGGGTTACAATTCAAGATGATATTTTGAGTGGGGACACAGCCAAGCCATATCATACAAGGACTGACTGATACTAAAGATACTAATTTTCTTTCCCTTGGTTGGCCAGGCTTTCGTCTCCATGACTGACCAATAGAGACCAAACAGGTTGGTCTAATCCCATCGCCCTCTAGTGCTTTCCAATGTTGGCCAAAATGTCATCTTCATGTTAAACATTCCTCCTGGCAAAAAATGACTTTCTATCATACGATTAGGGAGAAGAGAAGAGGAGGCATGAGAAAGGTTTAAAATGTACAGAAGTTTCCAACCACAGGAGGAGCAAAACACCAAAGAAGTTGTAGAATACAGAGTGTGGCAAAGAGCTGCAGCCCACACATGGTGTGCCGTCTGAGAGGGCATGCCAAGCCAAGGTTCAGGCTTCCTAGGACCACGTCCTGCCTGGGGAAGCATTCCAGTCCTCCTCATCATGGAGAAATGGGCAAGCCCCGCGCAGCTGGAGGGAGGCCACATACACCACACTGTCTTTGCAGAAGGTTCCCAGGGAAGAGACAGACCAGCTAAATGATCTCCAGCCCATCCTTGACCAGAGCCCCGGGCCAAGGAAAGCTGGGCAAGTCCATGATGTCTGATCAGAGTGGGCTAGGGTTCAGGTTTTAAATATCAGGAAGCCCCCAAATACAGTGCCAGGCAGACTTCTCTTTGTTATTGATCCCTGAGTTAACTCAAACCACACTTGCTCACCCTTCTGCAGCTCAGCCATAGCAAAGACAGTTGTTGTGCTTCCACCCCCCTGCCCAGTGGTATGGACTGGAGTCCGATGGTGACCTCCAAACACCAGCTGCCCAGTGCCTGGCCCTGGGCCAAATTCAATGCTGGCTGCAAACAGGTAGACACCACGCTCAGGGGCTCGGAAGTAGCCATGTTCAGGGAAGTAGCTGCTGCCAACGTTGATGTGCGTAGTGTTGAACTTCACCGTCTGCAAGGCAGCCGTCCCTCCTGAAAAGCTGGCATAGAAGGCCACAGGGGATCCTGAAACAAAAGAGGAAAGTGCTCAGTGACTCATCTCTTACACCCTTGGATGGGAAACTAAACCCTGAGACCCGCTGTCCTTACCTTACTAGTACTGGAAATAGGTCACTATTTCTAGATAACCTAGATATTCCCAATGGCAGTGTTACTGCAAGGAGCAGAGCTAGATGGCCAATTCTGTTTTCCACTAATTGAGAGGAGGGAAAATGCAAGTCTGTTGCCTCAGCTGATGTATATTTTAACAAAACACCTTCTCTCTTTTTTGTGGTAGGGGGGCGGGGGTGGGGGTGGGCAGGGTCTATTCTGTCTCCCAGGCTGGAGTGCAGTGGCAGCCATGGCTCACTGCAACCTTTCTTTTTTTGGTAGAGAAAGAATCTTACTATGTTGCCCAGGCTGATCTCGAGCTCCTGGGCTCAAGTGATTCTCCTGTGTCAGCCTCCCAAAACACTGGGCTTATAGGGATGAGCCACCATGCCTGGCCACAAAGCACTATCTCATTTGATCCCGTTTCCTTCCAACTTCCTTGAAAGACAGTAACTCTGATTGGCAATAACTCTGATTGACAAAATGGGCTGAATTCTTCACTGGCTGCCCAAGGCTACATGGTTTGCAAATGGCAGGCTGGGATAGGAACACAGGTCTCTGACTCCCACACAACCGCTGCTTGCTAGGAATGTTGAGATACTCAAGGGAGAGAAAATATCCATCCTCAAGGTAATAATAATGCTAGCACCGGGGAGGTAACTGCAGAACCATGAAGGCTGGATCCTCCTGGATGTTGGAGACAGAACCTTGGAGAAAGAAGGAAAGAGCAGGTGGAGCCAGGAAAGAGAAGCCCCCTCAAGCTGGTCTTTTTTTTTTAGTTGATAAAGTGTCTCTTGTTGCCCAGACTGGAGTGCATTGGTGATCATGGTTCACTACAGCCTCAACTTCTTTGGCTCAGGTAATCCTCCCACCTTGGCCTCCTGAGTAGCTGTGACTACAGGCTTGCGCCACCATGCCCGGCTAATTTTTTTATTATTTATTTTTTCTAGAGACAGAGTCTTGCTCTGTTGCTCAGGCTGGTCTCGAACTCCTGACCTCAAGCAATCCTCCCACCTTAGCCCCACAAAGTGCTGGGATTACAGGTGTGAGCCACCATCCCTGGCCAAGCTGGTCATCTTAATGTGGTTTTTCAAAATGTTCACAGAACCTGAGATTACGTACGGGTAAACTGAGGCCCAGAAAGAAAAAGCTTATTGCTCCAGACTACACAACTAGTAAATTACCAAGCCTCCAGGGAGCAGACCTTGAATCTCTTGACTTCTGGTTCTCTGCAGAGTGCATTTTAGCTAGCCTTAGGACAGGAACACTGAGACAGAACACCGGTGCCAGGCCCATGCATGGGCACAGAGTCAGAGGAAGCTGCCATGCGTGGAGGGTGGACAAACAGCCAGGAAGAAGCCAGCCACGCTGCCTGGCCAGGATGGTTGGGCAGCTGGGAACAGGGTCATGAGACAGCATGAGAAAGGTGAGTCCTGCTTGGGTCCTGGCTGTGACACTGGCCATGGCACCAACAAGGTTATGTCCACCGTGGGTTTCCTCAACTTGCTCCCTCTCTAGGAGTTGAAAACAAAGTCCCCATTTCTTAGGTGATGAAACCAAGGCCTGAGAAAGAGCCATTTGCTAAGCAATTAGTGACTTGGGTCCTGGAACTACAGCCCCAGCTCTTTGCCTCCCAATCCAGCAATAGCCTTGTAAATAAAAAAATGGTGCTTTTCTCTAGTTCTGGAAGAACTGAGTTCTAATTTTCTGAGAATTAGAGAGTTGAGAATAGCTTTCCCATTTGTGTTAAGATTGTGCCAAGTCGGCCGGGCACAGTGCTCACGCCTGTAATCCCAGCACTTCAGGAGGCCGAGGAGGGCGGATCGATCACCTGAGGTCGGGGTTCGAGACCAGCCTGACAAACATGGAGAAACCCCCATCTCTACTAAAAATACAAAATTAGCCGGGCTTAATGGCGCATGCCTGTAATCCCAGCTACTCAGGAGGCTGAGGCAGGAGAATCGCTTGAACCTGGGAGGAGGCGGAGGTTGCGGTGAGCCGAGATCGCGCCATTGCACTCCAGCCTGAGCAACAAGAGCGAAACTCCGTCTCACAAAAAAAAAAAAAAGATTGTGCCAAGTCAGAGGCTTGCGGCTGCTTCTGCAATTCCCCTAACACCCAGCAGGTGGGGCTCTCGCCAAGCCGAAGGAAGGCCAGTCCGCAGCGCCCTCTGCCGGTGCTGGGACCTTGTTGCTGCCGGGCGCCTGCGCGGGGAGTTCCTCCGCAGAGGGAGACCCCACCAAGCCTTGCGCCTGACAGGCCATAAGATGCGGGAAGGACTGTGCAAACTTAGAGTGCGCTCCCCTGCAGGGCACACATTCCTGCAAACAAATAAAGGGAAGAGTGTGTGTGTGCGTGAGTGTCTGGGTTTGGGTTTGAGACAGTGTGTGTGTGTGTGTGTGTGTGTGTCCTAACCTATAGCCCAGGCTGGAGTGCAGTGGAGCAATCTCAGCTTACTGCAACCTCTCCCTCCCAGGTTTAAGCGATTCTCCTGCCTCAGCCTCCTAAATTGGGATTACAGGTGCCTGCCACACCTGGCTAATTTTTGTTTGTTTGTTTTAGACGGAGTCTTGCTTTGTCTTGCCCAGGCTGGAGTGCAGTGGTACAATCTCAGCTCACTGCAGCCTCCACCTCCCTCCTCGACCTCCCAAAGTGCTGGGATTACATGCATGAGCCACCGTGCCTGGCCTAATTTTTGTATTTTTAGTAGGGACGGGGTCTTGCCATGTTGCCCAGGCTGATCTCAAACTGTTGGCCTCAAGTGATCCACTCGCCTCAGCCTCCCAAGGTGCTGAGATTACAGGTGTAATCCACTGCACCCGGTCTGGAAATTTGTTTTTAAGGAAAACACTTTTTTGAAATAAATGATCATTGTGGTAAACACATTCCCAAACCATCAAGCAAATTCTGAAAGTCATCAGCATATTGAAGCCTTGCACCATGCACGAGAGGAAACAAGAGGGAAGTGTCAGTGTATGTGGACACAGCCTGGCCCTGAAAATGCTGGGAAAATGGGAAAACGTTGACTGGGTTCCTACATGAGGTAAGCCTCGTGCTAGGTGTTTGGTAAATGCAGCTGTCTTCATAACTTTGACGTGAGTTGGGATTCTGCCATTCTACTGAGGGAGAAACAGACAGGTGATGATAGACCCTGGGTGCCTTTCACTGCTTTGCATTGCCTCTTGGGTCACAGGGAGGGTCAACAGTGGCAGGACTGCCTGGGATGGGACTTTGACAAGGCCTTAGACTTGCCACATGGCAGGCTACACATGGTCAAGATGGTGGCCTTGTTCTTAGCCCTGTGTCTGGGTGGGGAATGGCACCAGCTCCAAGGCCAGCTTCTGGCAGAGTCATTTAAGACACAGAGCCTAGTTGTCCCCCTCCCAGAGCCATGCTCAGGGAGGGGATGGGAAGTTTGGTCACACATCCCTTCAGCCTCAGAGCCAGCTCCCAGGCCCAGGGACCTGCAGGGACCAGCCATGGAGGGCCTTTTGGAGGGGACGAACCGGCACCCTAAAGACAGCACTCCCCTGCCGCTCACTAGCTGTTTGTGCCTCAGTTTCAGGTAAGGTGGTAGTGCTGATGAGTTCGTCACTGACCTGTTGGGATGGGTCACTGTGCTAAAGCCCAGGAAGGGGACCTAGCACAGAGCAGTGAGAGGGGTGAACTGTATTTGCAGAGAGAATGGGCTCCTTTCAGGGCCCACGGCTTTCCCTGTACAGTATACACTAGGGTGTATACTGTAATAAAAGTTATATGAATGTTGTTTCTCCCGCTATCAAAATCTTATTGTACTGTACTCACCTATTTTCTGATCATGGTTGATGCAAGAAACTGAAATTGAGGCTGGGCACAGTGGCTCATGCCTATAATCCTAACACTCTGGGAGGCTGAGATGGGCAGACTGCCTGAGCCCAGGAGTTTGAGACCAGCCTGGGCAACATGGCAAGACTACATCTCTACAAGAAGTACAAAAATTAGCTGGGCATGGCGACATATGCCTGTAGTCCCAGCTACTCTGGAGGCTGAAGAGGGAGGATCAGCTGAGCCCAGGGAGGTCGAGGCTACAGTGAGCTGTGATCCCACCACTGTACTCCAGCCTGGATGACAAAGTGAGACCCATCTCCCAAAAGAAGAAAAAAAAAAAAACTAAATCATGGAATGTGAAACAGCGGCTAAGTGGGGCTGCCCATGGCAAGCGGCCACAATCTCCATCCACATTCTCCCTGGATACAGTGGCTTGGCACATGGGGATGAAGTGGGTACAGTGAAGATCTGAGATGGGGGACCTGAGGGCTGCCCTGGCAGGGCGGGAACACTCCCCTCTCTGCAGCAGGAGCATTGGCTCTGCCTGCTCGTGGGCTCTGGCACTAGCAGGTGGTTCTTGTGACTTCTTCTGCCTTCCCATATGCCAGGTAGCTTGTGAGGCCCACAGCTCTGAAAAGCAGCTGGGCCAAAGGGAGGGTGGACCCCGAGTAGAGGTGACTAATGGCCATCCTGTTCTCTGTCGTCCTGGCCCCCTTGGAGGCAGAAGAGCTGCTGGCAGCCCACCCTGGCCTCCTAGACTCGCCCAGTCTCCTGGGCACAGGAACTCACCTGCCTCCCAGAGCGCCGTGCCCAAGGCACCTGGCACAGGACCTGTGATGCGCGCATCCACCAAAGGCTCCGCTTCCTTCTTGTCTCTCTTCCGGGGAGCTTCCAGACCTTTCTGCGGCTTCTTTTCTTTCCTGCTCAGCATGGTCTGCAGCTTCCCCAGGTCCAGGCTGACGTTGGCTGCCACGAGCCCTTGGAAGTTCCTAAAGAGGCTGTGGAAGAGCTGCTGGTGCTGCTCCAAGCTGCGCTGGGTGGCGGAGAGTGCGCTGTGGAGGCCGTCGAGGGAGGCGTTGAAGGAGACGGCCCCGGCCTCGGCCTCGCAGCACGCCCCGACACGCTTGAGTTCATGGCTTAGGCTCTGGAGCTCCCGAGCCAGGCCGGCCAGGGTGGTGGTGGCGGCCTCCTCGCGGCCCACGTCGTGGCTGGGCTCCAGGCGCTCTGCCGGCCGCGGGAGCTCCGAGGCCTGCTCCAGGGCCGCCACCCGGGCGGCCAGCATGTCCCAGCCAAGCGCCTGCTCCTGCAGCCCGATGGCGGCGTCCTGTAGGGCCACGCGGATCTGCTCGTAGCTCAGGGGCAGTGGCCCCGGGGCCTCCTCAGACATCTCCTCCAACATCTCCTCCCCGAAGAGCGCGGCCAGCACCGCCTCGTGCCGCAGCGCGTCCTCCAGCAGGGCGGCGAAGGCGCTGTGCAGCTGGCGCACTTCGTGGCGGGCCTCGGCCGCGCCCGCCTTCAGCGCGCCCACCTCGTCGTCCAGCGCCTGCACCTGGCTCCGGAGCCGCGCCGTGGCCGCCCGCGCCCGCTCGCCCTCCGCTTTGTGCGTGTCCACAGCGAGTGACACAGCGTCCACGGCGCTCTGCAGGGCCTGCAGGGAGGGGCCGTCCAGCTGGCGCCGCTCGTCCAGGCTCACCTGGGTCTCCTCCAGGGCGCGCGTGGCGCCCCTCTGGCCCTCCTGGACGACGTCCAGGTCTAAGTAGAGCTTCTGGCAGTTGCAGTCCTTCACATACTTGATGAGGTCAGCGTGCCCACCCTGCAGGTGCTGCAGCGTGAGGTTGAGCTCCAGGAGCTGCCGCTCCACCTCCTCCTTGTTCTCCTCCATGATCAGAGACTTCTCCATCAGGATCACCCGCAGCTCACGGAGCGCCGTGTGGTTCACCTGCAGCTCCTCCACCTGCCGCTCCACCTTGTTGATCTGATCAAAGGTCTCGTCCGATTCGGAGTACAGTTCCTTGATCTCATCCCTGTGCTGGGTCAGGGTGGCCCTCATGTCCTCTAGGGTGTTTTGCAACTCCTTCTCCCTGAGAGCCGTGGTCATGTGCAGCTCTGAGAGGTTCCTCTGCAGCTGGGCCAGCCTGGCCTGCAGGCTCTCCGGCTCAGGCTTTGCCCCAGCCCAGGGCATTGCCACCACCAGGCTGCCATTGGTCCCTCGGGCCTCCTGGGCCTTGTGCACCCTCTTCAGTTTGGTGTCCACATCGGCCTGGAGCTCTGAGACAGAGCGGTGCAGGGTAAGGTGCTGGGCGTGCAGGCGGTCCTCCATGTCCTGCTGCAGCTGACCGACTCTCTGAGCATTCTCCTGGACTTTGGCCTCAAATTTGGCACCAAGCTCCTGGAAGTCAGCCCTGACCATGGCACTGTCCTGGACTCTCGAGATGGCCTGGCGGTTGGCCTCCACATCAAGAGACAGGTTTCTTATGGCCTGGGCAAGCCTGTGCAGACTTTCATTAAAGCTCCTCCAGATGGGGTTGAAATGCACTTGTAGGTAGGTGTCCATATGGGGTAGCAGCACCTGCTCCAAGGATCTATCAGGAAACTCTGCAACAGAACAGACATGCAGTGTGACACAAGCCCTGCAGGAGCAGATACTCCTCCCGGGCTGGGAGAAGCAGGGTCCTCCCCTACTGCCCTCAATATGCCCAGGCTCTTCCTTAGCCCCTAAAGCCTGCCACTCACCGTGCTCTGTTTTATTTGCTTCCATCGTTGCAGCTGTGAGGTTACCAGGCAGGGCCTGCCACAGGCCTGGCAGGCTGTCTGCCACCTGGTGCACATCATTCTGGAGATCTCCCAGCAGGCGTTCCTGCTGTTCCTGTTGCACCTCAACCTCACTGATCACTGCAGCCAGGTGGCCTGAATACACAGGAGACATAAATGTCAAGGGCTAACTCACCAGGCTTGGGAAGACCGTGAGGTTCAGAGGAGAGTTGAGGGCCGAGAGCAGGGAAGGTAGCTGCTGATGTCCTCTGAGCAGCGGCTTAGAACCCTTAAACCCCTGGAGAGCAAATGCACAGCAAGTGAGCCCTCCCTCTGCCTCCTACACCCACAGCAGACATGACTAATCAATAATGGCACACTCCCCTTTTTAGCACATGCACATGGCCTCACAACATCATTCATGGCAGCCCTTGTCAATAAATACTTCACCACATGGTGAAAGTCATTTGCTTTCTCAATCTTGGCCCCGACCTCGAAGGGCCCTGCTGCAAATGGTGTCTCTCAGTGGGTTTCCTGTGCTGACTCCAAGACCAAGGACAACATGACTTCCTGGCCCTGGTTAGGGCTGTGGGGAAGGGTGAGAAAGCTTTTTCTAGGTACAGGGCTTGTGTGGTTCAGGGGGGCAAGGAAAGTGCCAGATGAACCATTTCTTCCCAGAAGATGGGGTGAAGGAAAAGGGTGTGTGTGCTCAGCCAGCAGGCAGCTGGGGGCCTGTGAGCCTGGCCTTCAAGGTGGGAGGTGGTGCAAGCCACAGAGGAGGCCTTGCTGATTCTGGAGGCACGGTTTCCCTGAAATGGCGCTGCTGTGTCACAGGAGAAAGGGCCAGCTGGTGATGTGGGCTCCACCAGGCTGCCTGCCCCTTCTGATAAGGAACACACCAGGTTCGAAGCTGCCTGGTCCATCCCCAGGTTCCCGGTGGCCGTCACCAGGATCTGCAGGCTCAGGGATTGCCATGGAATCTGCAAAGAAAGCATTAGATATTGACCCAGCGGTCAGAGGAGCTGCTTGACCTTCGGAATCAGTGGTCAAGTGGGGAGCGGGGCCGTAGGGAGCTCTACCGTGGTGCTCGCAGTTGGGGCCTGTGTAGCCAGGGCAGCACCTCCAGGCCAAGGAGGTCAACACCTTCTGCTTGACGTGGTACACTGGCTTGTGGGCCATTCGGTACCTGGAGGAGAAGGGCTAGCTCAGTGACTCCAGGAAGGGCCCGCTCCAGGTCTGGGCAAATGCCCCCCTCCCCCCGCCCCACTCACATGACTTTGACTCTCTGGCAGTCTGGAGCTCCCTGTGGACATGGCTGCTGCGAGTGGACGAGAAATTTCTCTGTTTTGCAAACAGCTAGTAAGGTGACCAGCTTGGACATCGGGTAGGGGCACCAGTTTCTGGAAAACAAGGCAGAGGAGAGAGCAGCTGAGCTGCATCCAGGCCAACAGGGGGTGCTGGTACAGAGCCACGGGTCCCTGCCTCCTGCCTGAGCAGTGCTGCGATGCTGGACTCCACTATCCTGAGGAGACAGCCCTCTGCATTATTCGTCCCTGGGCTCCAGAGCAAATATTTCACAATCCCTGCCTGCAAAGAGGGCACCTGCTCCACCACCTTCCCGAAGCCTCCCGTAACCAGCACAGAGAGGCTGAGAAACCTGCCAGAATCTAGAACTGTGAAGAGCAGCTCCCGGGTGATGACTGTTTTAGCCAACAAAACTAACAGCCAGAGTGTGGCAAAAACACCGTGTGTTGCAGCTGTCTGAATGGATTCCTGTTGACGAGTTCAGCCGCAGAGCCAGAAAGGCTCTTGCTGTTTTTCCTGGTACCAGGGAGGCTGCAGGGTGCAGCGGAGGCTGGAGAGTCCTGGGTTAGAATCCCTCACACTTTCCGGCTGTGTGAACCCATGACGTACTTAGGCGGCGTCTGTTTCCCAATCTATACAACGGCGATCGTAATGCCCTCCTCTGAGTGGGCAGAGGAGCCCCAGGTGCCTGGCTCCTGACAAGTGTTCTGTGAACACAGCTCTACCGCCCCATTCCAGCTGCCCTGGCAGCCTGCCCAGCTGCTACTCATGTGAGGGACCAGCTCCCTGGCCATGCCCATTAGGACCATTCTAGAAAGGGGCTTTCAAACAGTTGTCCTAGGGGCAGGTAAGCAGCTGGGTGGAGCAGTGTCCCCTCTGGGAGTGGTCACCTCATCAAGGTCACGCAGGGTGTCAGGGAGTCACACGCAGCATCCTGCACGCCTGACAGGTAGCCCCTCCATCCTGGCCCTTCACCAGCATGTACTATGGTGTCCCAGGAGTGGGGGACGCTCATGCTGATGGAGCCCCAGTTCACTGACCCGGTGGCTGACTCCATAGAGTCAGTGGCAGTGGGTCAGAGAGCCCTTCCCCAGGCAGCCAGCTCCCAGGACAAAGTTTGTCAGAGTTGTAAGTGGCAATGATCTCTGTGGCGCAGTGTAGCTCGGCACCTCTTGGGTGCCAGGTGTGGGGCTTGAGCTCAGGGTATGGATGTGGAGGTGCACACTTTCCCTTCAGGGTCCCCAGGGAGAGCAGGCACTCTCAGAATGGGTGAGGGGTGCTAGGATCTGCAGAGACTTTCAGGAGAAGGAGCTAATGGGCTGTGTCTTCAAGCCAGAAAGTCAGATGAGGCACCTGATGTGACAGGGGTGCTTGGGGGTGAGGAAGGGGCTGCAGAGGGAGGCTGAGGTAAAGGGAGAAGCCAGACCTCAGCAGAGAGCTGGCCTGTGTCCTGAGGGCCTGGGAAGTCATGGAGGGATTACAGCAGGGAAGTGGCATGAAACCCTGGTTCCTGGGTGCAGAGAGGATGGGAGGGTAAGATGTTGGCAGCTGTGTCCACGGGTGGGGGGAGATGACGGCAGCTCGGACTGAGCGATGGTGGACGTAGGAGAAGTGGCCACATCTGTGAGCTATTAGAAAGCAGCGTTCAGAGGCCTTCATGATGAAGGGCTATCTGGAGCCAGTCTTTGTCCTGGGGTCGTTGGGCTCTGTCACACAGGGATAGTGCTGGGAAAGGCAGGGGCGGGGAACCGAGGGGATTTGAGTGATCATATTTTGAGTGCTGAGCCCCCAGCCTGCTTTACCCTCTCAGCAGCAGACTAGAAAAGCTTCTTAGGAAAATGAGCCAGCGGAGAGGCAAAGACCCAAAGCTGCTGTCACCAGGGGTTCTCCCATAGAAACTGCCAACCAGAAAATCTTAGGCCGGACAAAACACGTCAGAAAGGGGTATCCATACACCCCAGCTTCCAGTCAGCTTCTCAGTCTTTTTCCTCTTAAGTGAGCAGACATCCAAGGTTTACCCGAGAAACATTCTGTTCCAAAACAGGGCCAGGCACAGTGGCGCATGCCTGTAATCCCAGCACTTTGGGAGGCTGAGGTGGGAGGATCCTTTGAGCCCAGGAGTTTGAGACCAGCCTACACAACATAGTGAGACCTCATCTCTACAAAAAATTAGCCAGGTGTGGTGGCATGTGCCTGTAGTCCCAGCTATTCAGGAGCATGAGGCGGGAGGATTGCTTGAGCCCAGGAGTTTGAGGCTGCAGTGAGCCATGATTATGCCACTGCACTTCAGCCTGGGTGCAGAGCAAGATTCTATCTCAAAAAAAAAAAAAAAAAAGGTCAAAGTGGACAAACAGAAAAATGTCAGCTTGGACCAAAACCATGACTGTGTAAGGAGTCAAACACTTGCACTAAAATTTCCAGATTGATAAGAGAAATTACTGCACCTAAGAAACAAGAACAGGAAGCTATGAAAAAAAAAAGTGAAGGGGGATGGGAGAGAAAGGGTGAGCATTCAGAGAACAAAAAAGTACTCTTGGAAATTAAAAGCATAACAGTAGAAATGAAAATAAATTTATTGGAAATGTTAGAGGGTAAAGTTAAAGAAATTTCCCTGAAAGAGCAAACAGAGAGGTGAAAAATTGGAGACAGAAAAGAAAAATAGAGAACCAGTCTTGCAAATGTAACATCCAAATAATAGAAATTTCAGAAAGAACAGAGGGAGTAAATCATCAATGAAAAAAAATCAGGTCTGGCATGGTGGCTCACGCCTGTAGTCCCAGCATTTTGGGAGGTTGAGGCAGGAGGATCACTCGAGCTCAGGAGTTTGAGACCAGCCTGAGCAACATGGCAAGATTCCAATCTCTACAAATAATTCAAAAATTAGCCAAGTGTGGCGGTGTGCACCAGCTATTCAGATGGTTGAGGTGGAAGGGTCCCTTGAGCGCGGGAGGCTCAGGCCACAGTGAGCTATGATGGTGCCACTGCACTCCAGCCTGAGCAAAAGAGTGAGACCTTGTCTCAACAACAAACAAAAAAACATTCCGAAAGTGAAGAATTTCAATTTCTAGCTTCAAAGCACCACCAATTACCTGCAATATGATGAAAATACGCTTACATCAAAACATGTCACCATGAAATTTTAGACCCCTGGGAACAAAGATAGTTTCTACATGCTTCCAGAGAGGAAAATCAAGATAAACACAAGCATACAAAATCAGTAATTGGAATGGCTTTGAACCTCTCAACAGCAATATTGAAAACTGGAACACAGTGAGAATTGCATTCAAAATACTGAAGAAAAATAATTTACAACACAGAATCCTATATCCAGCCTAACTATGAATCAGTATGGGGAGTGAGAATAAAGACATTTTCAAACAGTCCAGGTTCCAGAACATTTACCTCCCATATATCCCTCGTCAGGAGACTACCTGATGAGCAGTGGCTTGAAATATTGCCTGCACATCAGCACCATTATGAAGCCGGGTATGGTGGCTTGTATCTGTAATCCCAGCTACTCAAGAGGCTGAGGTGGGAGGACTGCTTGAGTCCTGGAGTTCAAGATCAGCCTGGACAACACAGTGAGACCCCATCTCAAAAAAAAAAATCCACAAAAAACCCAAAAACAAAACCATTGTGTGGCACTTTAAAAATAATAGTCTTGGGGCTGAGTATGGTGGCTTACACCTGTAATCTCAGCACTTTGGGAGGCCAAGGTAGGAAGATGATTTGAGGTCAGGAGTTCCAGACCAGCCTGGCCAACATGGCAAAATCTGTCTTAACTAAAAATAGAAAAATTAGCCTGGCATGGTGGTGCACGCCTGTAATCCCAGCTACTCAGGAGGCTGAAGCAGGAGAATGGCTTGAATCCAGAAGGCGGAGGTTGCAGTCAGCCAAGATCATACCATTGTACTCCAGCCTGGGCAACAAGAGCGAAACTCCGTCTCAAAAAAAATAAAAATAAAAATAGATAAAGCTACCTCCCAAGAAGTAGCAATGCAAGCATGTTCTTTAGTGACACAGAGGTAAACACGAGAGAATCACCTGCAAAGTTGAAAGTCATTACCTTTGGGGACCAGAGGGAGCTGGGGCTTCTGACTGTCTCAACAAGCATTACAGAACCAGTTGACTCTTAATCAGGAGATCAGCAAACTTTTTCTCTAAAGGGACAGATAGTAAATATTTGACACAAGACCAGCTACGTAACTGGCAGGGCCCAGTGCAAAATGAATATGTGGGCCCTCTTGTTCAAAAAGTATGAAGAATTTCCAGACGATGACACCCAGGGTGGGGCCCTTCAGAATGCAGGCCCTTGTGTGTGACTGCGCAGGTCACATGCCCCTGATGCTGGCCATGGTTTCAGGCTTTCCAGGCCGCATGGACTCTGTCCCATCTACGAAACTCTGCCATTGTACCATGAAGGCAGTCACTGACAATAAGTAAATGAACCAGCGTGGCTGCGCTCCAATAAAACTTTGTTAGCAAAAACCGGTGGTGGGTTGGACTTGGCCCACTGTCCATAGTTTGCTGATCTCTGCCTATGAATATGTATATCTAATAAAACTAATAAAAATAAATAAAAATCATCTTCATCAGGAAGAGAAAATGCAGGTGAATAATCAAGAACGTTTTGGAACCCAGGCGCAGTGACTCACGTCTGTAATCCTAGCACTTTGGGAGGCCAAGGCAAGTGGATCACTTGAGTCCAGGAGTTTGAGACCAGCCTGGGCAACATGGCGCAACCCCGTCTCTACAGAAAATACAAAAATTAGTTGTGCATGGTGGTGCTCACCTCCAATCCCAGCTACTTGGGAGGCTGAGGTTGGATGCCTGAGCCAAGGAGGTGGAGGTCGCAAGGAGTCGACATTGCACACTGCACTCCATCCTGGGCAATGAAGAAAAACTCTGTCTCAAAATTTTAAAAAGGGCATTTTAAAAGACAGAAATGAGTAGGGAGTTTCTCTTACAGCTATCAAGTCTCCAAAGCTAAGGAATGAAACGATGGGGCAGTGGGTCAGGATTTGATAAGCCAGCCAGTGGGAACAGAGACCAGGAAGGGGACAGTGGATCTCCAAGGGATCAGAAAACAGTAAAAAGGGACGGAAGGAAGGGAGGAATGCTCACTCAACACTGAAACAGAGGGCTGGGAAGGCGCTGGCTTGGAGCTCAGGAGCCACAGGTGAGATGCTTGCCGGCACGGACATCTGCCTGGCCCCCATGGAAAGTCCTTGAACATGGGCTCAGCCTAAGGGAAAATCTCTCTTAGACCAGTGGTTCTCAACAGGAGAGGGGACCCACTGTTATAGTGAACCCCAAGTTTCTCTTCAAAGAATCAGTATGTCAGTATGTTCAGCTCTCTTATTCTTTCCCTATTTTAAAGTTTAACTTCCTTGCAATTTCAGCAAACAACCTTCCCCACCGGTTCTGATCAGTAGTTCACATCTGTTCCCCTGGCCCCTGGCTCCATTCTGACTCATCCTGGTCACCTGCTCGTCACCTGTTCCGGTTACCTTCTTTGACCTCGGTCACCCCTGGCTACCTGCTCTGACCCACCTGTAACCATCCTTCCCACCAAAACACTCACCCTGCCTCTCCAGCTCGGACCCCTGCTCTCTTTAAAATAGCCAATCGGGATTAGCTTATCTTGTGCCGTCTAACTGTAGCCAATAGGGGAGCGACACAGCAGTAGAGACGACCCTCGTCAGGCATAAATACCCCTTCCCCCCTTGTCCACGTGTGCCCCCACCATTGCTCCATCCGTTAGCCACACCCTTCTATAGAAGTAAATTGCCTTGCTGAGAGGATTTATCTTCGCGTGCTATTTCTTTTGCAGCATCAAAATTTTACTTATAACAGCACCCCAAGTGCATCGTCACATCTGGGTGGTGGGTGCTACCCATGACTGGGTGCCTCACAGACGAGAACCAAAGATGCTGCTAAATACCCCACAAAGCATAGGACATCTATGCACCCCACAACAAGTAATGTAATTATCTAGTCCAAAATGTCAGTAGTGCCAAGGGTGAGAAACTCTCTCTAAACAAAATTCCATTCCTTGCAAACCTCTGACCTATTGTAAAGGGCCTGGAAGGCCTTTGCCCCGGGCATGCCTGGCCTGGTCCAGCCTGCCAGGAGTTACCGGGACTTTCCACCTCAAGCTCCTGGAAGTGGAAACTATGCTGCCCACCCTTCCTGCCCAGGAACTTTCTCCACTGACCTGCCCAGACCCTGGGCTTCAGTGCCACTGTTCTCTCTGCCCACGCTCCCCACCCTGGGCAGGCCCTCCCTTGGCACAGGACAGGCTGCTGGCCCCAAACCCTGGGAACATTCCTGACCTTTGCTTTGGTTTCCTCCAGCTCTTGGCAGCTTCTTCCTGGCCCTCGATGCCCATGACCCTGGGCCAACTCGCTGAGGCATCCATTGTTCCCTCTGCCACTCTGTGTCAGGCTGGCTTCATCTTTGTGCCCTCCCTTGGGAAGCCCTGCTGGGTGCCCTCATCTCCCATTGGGCTATTGAGGGGCACGTGCCAGCTCAGAGTGAATGTGGGGCTCCTCTGGCCTGCCCTTGGTCTGCTGTGACCCCAACCTGTGGTCCCACCCAGATGGGAGGGAATGTGGACTCCTTTGGAGCTTTAAATGGAAGCAGGAGGGCCTGTGCTCTCCTCTCCTCCTCCTCCCTGAACGAACTCACAGTGACCTTGAGCAAGGCCCTTCCCACGTCTCTCTCGGAAATGCGAAGAAGCTGTGCCTCTGCGGCACTCAGAACAGAACGGGTGTGGTGGGAAGGCAGAGGGAGCCTGAGTGTGGGGGGAAGGCGCACCATTATGCAGATTGTGTGGAGGGCCTTCCCCTCCCCAGCCAGGAAACGCCCTCCCAGGGGGCCTCAAGTCCTCCTTGGGAAGGAGGGCGTGTTCTCCGAAGCCTCACTTTCCGAGGCCCTGAAGCCAGCCATTAACCTGACCATTCCAGGGGAGAAACTCACAGGGTTTTGTCCTTGAGTCAGAAATGGGCCTTGGCAGAGAAGCCTGAGGCTCTCTCCGCTGCCAGCCCAGAACTGAGAATCCCTCAGCGTGATTCTGGAAGCTTCAGCTCTTCCCTGTTCAGGCCAAGGGCTCTGTGCCTGGGTGGGGGAAAAAAGGGGCAGGAACAGGTGCAAGAGATGCATCGTGGCCCGGAGAAGGCAGCCTATGCCGTGCCCTGCTCCTGTGTGACCTCCAGCCATATGCTGGACTCCGAGTCACAAGCTCCCAGCTGGGAAAATCCCAATGCTCCTTGCATGAGGGTCAGGAAAAGCCTGAAGCCAGCGACTGGGGCCAGCCAACCTGCTGGCAGCAGCGTCCCCTACATGGCCGGGGGACAGGACAGAGAAAGCCTGGGTGGGCCCCAGCTCTCACCTGTTACTTAGGAGCTCTGTGGCCCTGGGGGGCGTCCCCACCCCTCTGAGCTGTCACAGCAATGGGACAGGTGGGACACCTTGCTTGGGGCTCAGCATCGTCCCTACCACAAACTGAGTTCCACTGGGACAGCAAATCCTGGGTCTGAGGCGCCCACATTCTAGACACCCCAAGCCAGGGCACGGAAAGAGCCTCCTCCTCCCGGAGTCCTACTGCTCAAGCTTCTGGCTCCGTGGACTGGGCCCCTTGGGGTCCCTGGTGACTTAGGAAGCAGTTAACCCCTTCCGTCTTCTGCTGCAGGGAAGTCTAAGGACCTAGTGGTCCTATTCAAGCTTCTCTTTGCTAAGTGTCTTACTGGGACCTGCATCCAGGGCCCACCCTAGCTTTGGGGCTCTGGAAAAAGATGTGAACAGCAAATGCCGAGTGGAATGCCTGGCTCAGGCTTCCAAGCCTCCTCCTGACAGTGTGGGTGTCACCACCCCTGCTACTGGAACCCAATCCGACTCCCCTTCCCCTGCTGCGGGGACAGGAGCTGGAGCACGCTTCCGCCTCCCGGGTCACAGGAGCACTGGAAGCAATCAGCCCAGGAAGCTGCAGCGTTTCCTTCCTTTCTCACCAGCCCATCCGGGCTTGGTGAAAGAGCAGGGGCTTGCCCTGCGAAGACCGAAGCTTCTGGATGCCGGAGGGAGACCCCTGCAGGCAGGGGGCTTCCAGGCTTGGGACACCTGGGCATTCCTAGGCCAGGTCCATGCACCCTCCCACTCTGAGACCCCCAGGGAATGACTGAGGGGCCCCTGCAGGGCTGCCTGTCAGCAGTTCCCAGGCCCTCTCCTTGGGGCTAAGGGAGCAATGTCCCTCCCTACAACCAAGGGGGTGGGAGGAAGAGGAGCAGCTCCCTCCTCCCCCCTGTCCACTGGGTCCCCTCATCCTCCCTTTCATTAACGTGAGGAAGGTGGCCTGAGACTCAGCTGTGGAGCTTCCTTGGTCCTGAAATCAGAGCAGAGTGGCTGGATCCCCCCACCAAGAATCACCTGCGCCTCCCAGCCCTGAGCGGAGCTGGGGGCAGGAGGGAACGCATGTTTCCCCATGGCCAACTGCTCAGCTACTGCTCCCCATGCCACTGCCAACAGCCCCTCCCTCACTAAGGGGCCTCTTGCGCCTCCCTGGTCAAATCCACTTTCAGGAAAGTGCCCAACAAACCTGCAACTCAGAAGCCAAAAGAGACCTATCGCAGGCAGGTCTGCTGTGATGGTGGCCCTCACACCCCAAATAGAAGGGTAAGTCAGTCCCTCTCACTCCCTAAATTCATGTAGCTGCCCTTAGCCAAACAGGTCTGGGGGCAGCGGGGTGAGGGTAGGAGCACCTGGGAGTCGGGGCTGGCTCCGACTGCTGCAGAGTCGAGTGTGAGCTCTAGAGTCAGACTCAGATTCTGCTCCTTAGCTGTGTGACCTTGGGAGAGCCGCTCAGCCTCTCTGAGCCTCAGGCTCCTCCTCTGTAAGTGGAGCTGTTGGAGGGATGAACTGAGATACACAGGGCAAGGTGCCTGGCCCCGTAAACAGCACCTGCTGCTCCGACTGGGTGGCAGCTGGAGATGAGGGGGACTTACAGGCCCAGCACCTTATCAGCAGGAGGGGCCCTGGCCCTGTACAAAGAGAATGCTGGAAAGCTGTCCTGGGTCCAGTCACAAGACCATCCTGCCTACTTATGGGGGGCGCTGAGGCAGAGCTCTCTGAATTGTGCTCTGGAGAGCAGGGGGCCCTCTCCGCTCACTGCTGGCGGTTGGGGCCAGGTCCTCAGGGAACTCAGATCAGAATCTGAGAGCAGCCTTACTGAGTCTCAGCCTTACTGAGTCTCAGCTTTCAGAATTGATTTCTTTCGAAGAACAGGAGGTATGGCCAGGCCAGCTGGAAGCAGCTGCAGCCAGAGTCCCCCAGGGCCCCATGATGGGTGATTGATGGTAGGAGCTGTGCCTCCAGGCCAGCCCCCGAAAGCCCCATTCCCTGCCATGGCTCAGACAGGGAACTCCCTGCCATTCTTGGGTGGACCCTGAAGCACCCAGTCCAGGCTCCTTGTTCAGCCTCACGGCTGGCTCAGCAGATAGATACTATTAGCCCATTTCACAGATGGGACCTGAGGTCCAGAGAGGTCCTGCTCTGTCTGAGCTGGGATCAGATCCTACCCCATGACCTCTGCCAAGGTCTAGGCCCTCTTACCGTCCAGCGGGGTCCCTGCCGGTGTCCTCAGCCTCTGCCCTCCAGACCCCAGGTAGCTCGGAGCTCTGCAGATCAGAGAGCCTAGTACTGGGAGCCTGGGCCCATGCCCCCAGCAGTCCCCAGCCCAGGGGTCCCCCAAGGCTGAACAGCAAGCTCAGGATCATCTTGGTGATGGGGCAGGCTCAGTTCACACTCGGCCTTGGCAAGTGGCTCCAGAAACTGCTAGTGACGTTGTCTTCGAGTTAAATCTCAGGAGGAAAAGAAAATATCAGGACAACAAAGAGAGGAAGTGGCGTGGGCCGGCCCACCCGATGGGTCTCGTCCGGCCCCCTGACCACTCCGGCTGGCCCTACAGGGGCCGCCAACCACACAAGCCAGTTCCTATCCCTGAGGACTTGGCTTAGGACTCTGGGGATGTGGTAGACACAGGGGGTGGCCCCACCAAATGCAACCTTATGGGACCCTGCTCCCTGGGAGCCAGGAAAAGAGTATGGACTTCGAGGTGGGGCTGCAGGAAGTGGTCAGGTCCGTCTCAGGGGACCTGCTGCCCATCCACGCTGCTGGCCAGGAAGTAGGGGGCACTCCATGCCTCCTCAGCACCTTCAGCACTGGGCTGTGGGGGCCAGCAGTGGGTGGAGGCTCAGAGAACAGAAGGGGCTAATCTAGGGTCACACAGCATTCCGGCAGAGATCAGGGCCTGGGGAAGCCCTTTGTTTCCCTACCCCCACCCCCACCCCCTTGCATCTCAGCTCCTCCAACTGGTTTCACGGGAGCCCAGGGTCTAGCAGCATCCAGGATGCTGGTGGGTAGCTGCACAGCCCAGGCTGCTGGAGGGTGGCCACTCTCACCTGACAGGCCTTTGTGGTCCTGACCCCTACCTAGGATGCTGGGGACACTGGCCAAGGTGCCTCTCCTCTCTGTGCCTGTTGGTCTAGGTTTAGCATAGACACAGCACCCCGAGACCCAAGAGTACCCAGCCAGGGCTGCCCCCATGAGTGGGCAGGGGCAAGGCAGCAAATGAATAATGACAGGGATGGGTCGGGAGGTGGCCAGCTCCTGGAGGGCAGGGGGCAGGAGAGCTGAGCTGAGCCTGCAGGAGCCCAGGGAGCCTGGTCTCTGCCTTCCTATCCTGGAGGAAGGTGAGGGTGAGCGAGCCTCCCTCCCTCCCTCCCTCCCCGCCCCCACAGCGCGCGGGACTGGCTGGGCTCCAGCTGGCCTCCGCATCAATATTTCATCAGCGTCAATAGGAGGCAGCCGGGACAGCGCTGCGGCAGCACTCGAGCCAGCTCAAGCCCGCAGCTCGCAGGGAGATCCAGCTCCGTCCAGCCTGCAGCAGCCCAGCCCTGCGCACCCACGATGGACGTCTTCAAGAAGGGCTTCTCCATCGCCAAAGAGGGCGTGGTGGGTGCGGTGGAGAAGACCAAGCAAGGGGTGACGGAAGCAGCTGAGAAGACCAAGGAGGGGGTCATGTATGTGGGTAAGTGGGGCATGGCAGGGTGGGACAGTGCGGCAGCCAGAGGGCGGGGTGCCCAGTTACCTTCGCCAGATCTTACTCCCCAGCCCCAGGGAGGTATTTTTGGAGGGGGCAAGGCGCTGGCTGTCAAGGTGGGGTCTCCAGACCCTGGGGCACCCACAGTGTCCTGTGCACACCCATGTGTGTTTGTCTCTGACTCCTCAGGGCCTCTGGGTGTCAGAGACTGCAGACAGGGCTGGCTACCTGTCTGTGCACACACAAAGACTCACCCAAGCACACCAGGTTCCCCTGAGCCTAGAGTCTCTGAAGCCACGAGCAGCCTGGCGCTCAGGCGGTCCCCAACCTCTCCACACGGGAGCCACTGCAGCCAGGCCATGGGACCCACCCTACCCAGAGAGAAGGGGTGGGCTGGGGGATGAGACCCAGGCTCAGGGTTCCCTCCCGCCTGATACCCTCCTGGCTCCCTCCGAGGAAGAGGAAGGGAAGACCAAGCTGATGACTCAGCTCTGGGCCGTCCAGTCCTATTGCTGCTTCCGAGGTCCGGCCACACCCAGGCAGGGGCTGGACCCTCAGGCCGGGTCTCTCTTGTCCCCTGCTCTGTCCCCTTCCTATCCAATCATTTCCTCTAGACACAGCAGGAAGTGGTCCTCTGAATGGGCCGCCGGCCCCCAGACACCATCCTCACCCCCCTGCGACCCTGCAGCTTGTCCGGCTGTTTTGTTGTGTGTGTGCTGACGGCCCCCAACACCTGGAGCGGGGTCTGGGCTGACGGCTCCATTTCCTCCCCAGGAACCAAGACCAAGGAGAATGTTGTGCAGAGCGTGACCTCAGGTAAGGAGCCCCGCGGCCAGGAGACATGAGGTGGGCCCCCTGGGGCTCCTGCATCCTAGTGCGGGGGTTTCCAACCTAGAGTCCTGCCTTACCACCAAACTGGGGTCCCAAGCCCTACAGACCCCTGCAGACCATGAGGCTAAACTAGAGTGGGCGTCCTCTTCCCCTCACCAGCATCAGAGCTGCCCTGGGGTCAGAGGGAGGCGGGGCGGTGCCCGCAGAGCCAGGGCCCTGAGCTCCTGGGCAGGGGCTGCACGCCCGACTCCAGCAGGCCTGCCGCGGGGCCGGGGCGGGGCCGGGGCCGGGGCCGGGGCGGGGGCCAGCCAGTATCCTCCCGCAGTGGCTGAGAAGACCAAGGAGCAGGCCAACGCCGTGAGCGACGCCGTGGTGAGCAGCGTCAACACCGTGGCCACTAAGACCGTGGAGGAGGCGGAGAACCTCGCGGTCACCTCCGGGGTGGTACGCAAGGTGAGCCCCGGCCCTCAGACCCACCCCGTCCATTCCCGGGCCCAGAGAGGCCGCTGGGGGAGACGGCATCACCGCTCTCCACACCCCAGGAAACAAGACGGGGGTCGGGGGCTGGCTTCAGTTTCAGCACCCACTGAGCGCCGGCGTGGGGTGGGGTCCCTGCTTGCTGCTTGACCTGCATTCGGGTCTGGAATCCCCACAACCACCCCTTCGGGGGCACTCGGGGGCCCATCTCACAGACAAGGAAAGAGAGGCTCAAAACCACACCTTCTGGACGGCTCTCAGCATTTAGGAGACGCCACATTTTATAAGTGAAAACGGGGTCCCACATGGTGACAGGCAGCGTCCCGGGCAGTGGTCACCCAGCCAGGGGCTGAGTCACACCCGCCCCCCGGACCCAACCTTTCTCCCTGTGCTGGGCGGGGCTGCTGCCTCCTCCTGGGAGCCGCAGGGAAGCAGCGTCCCCTGGTGGTGGGAAAGCAGAACTGGGTCTGACCCCACCCTCTGCAGCTGCCTGTGTATGTGTGCACACGTGTTGAGTGTGCATTTATATGAGAATGTGTGTGGGTGTGCATGTGAGTGAACGTACACGTGTGTGTGCGGCCCAACAGCAGACAGCACAGGAGCAGTGGGGCGCTCCCCAGGGACGGGTGTTGGCCGGGTGAGCTGTCCCTGCCCCTGTGACACAGCAAGCTCTGCCTTGCGCATCTTATGCTTGTTAGTTCATTTAAAAGACAGAAAATCCCATGAGACAGGGTGTGGAAACTAAGGCCCAGGGAGATTAATGTGCCACAGGCCCATGGCTAGCTCATGTGAGCTTGGAATTCTGAGCAGCCTGTGCTCTGAGAGACCCTGTGGCATTGTAGGTGGTAACCTGGGCTAGGATTCCAGCCTGGGGATGGAGCTGGGGAGCAGTGTCCAGCTCTCCTACCTGCTGCAGGCCTCCTGCGTGCTGGAGTCCCAGGCTCCCAGCACTGAGAACCCCTGTGTTGGGAGTGAGTGGGTGAAAGGGCGGGGGCTGCCCTACTCCTCCTGGCTCTGGGGCGACACCTAGGTGTCTGCTTCCAGTGCCAGCACAGGGTCTTCATGTCCCTGAGCTGGCAACTGCTCCCTCCCCTAGTTCCCCTTCCTCTTTGTATGAACTTGAGAAGCAAAAGACCCTCTCTGGGCCTCCGTGTCCTCATCTGCAAGAGGGGGTGAGTGTGTCTATCTCCCTGGGCTGTGTGATGAGGCATGGCCATGACCCCCATGAAGCGATTCTCCTGGCCCATGTGAGCACCCAGCAGAGGAAGGTGACCATCATCATCATCAGTGCCCTGGGCAGAACACATAGAGCCCCAGGAGGCCCCTCCTTCCCCACCCCCAGCAAAAAAGGCACTGGGATGAGGGTACCCACACTCCCAGTGAATCCTGGAGGGGTAGTGAGCCCTTGGAGCCATCTCAAGGGAGACTCATCTCCTGGTGACACCCAAAAACCAGTCATGACTCATCTCCCGGTGAACCATGAAAGGCCTCAGCAGAGATGGTCTGACCGCTCATGCCCCTGCCCTCATCACCAGCTTTAGGGTGGCAGGACTTGACAGGTGGTACCTGCCCTGCCCATGGAGAGCCTGGCCAACTCCAGCCAGCACAGCACTGCCCTTTTATGCCCCACTCCACCGAGGGGCAGGATGTCCCTGGAGCAACATAGAGGTGGCAGGACTTTCCAGAGGCAGGTGCTGAGGCCAGTGTCCAGGCAAATCACCAGTCTGGTCCTACACACCCAGCTGTCATGGCCTCTCACACAAATGTCTGGCTGGCATGGAATGCAGGAGACAGAAAACGGGAAGTGGGAGAGGGTTGTGTAACCTCTGCTGGCCCTGACCAGCCTGAGCCTAGAGCCTGTCCAGGAGGCAAGGAGAGGAACTCATGCTTCTGGAAACTGGAGTGGGCCTGGAGCAAGCCTGACCTGAGGCCCATACCCCCTACCACTTTGAGCTTGGAGGCCCTGAGCTGCATGCCAAGCCTCTGTGGCCTCAGAGTCCCTATGTAAACCCCAATCAGCCTTCCTTGTAGGGCTACTGGGGGTGGGGTCCGACCTGGGGCTTCAGGGGCCTCTGCCCACCCTCACCCCCACTCCACCCACCCTACCCAGGTTCCTCATCAATGAAGACCAACTAGGGGTTTCCCAGAGATGGGGGACCAGCTTGAAGGGTGAAGCTAGGCTCCAGGGTACTTGGTGCCCCTGGAAGGCCTCAGCATCATCAGGCAGAGCCCCAGATATTATCTGAACTGGGGACCAGCTTGAAGGGTGAAGCTAGGCTCCAGGGTACTTGGTACCCCTGGAAGTCCTCGGCATCATCAGACAGAGCCGAGGCCAGATATTGTCTGAACTGCCCATCCCCAACACCTACAGCCCCTCCAAGTACAAGGCCATGAAGGGTCTCTGCTCCTTTTTGCGGCCAGGTCACCCTGGTTGCAGGCAGCTAGGGGTCTCTGCATTCTCCACATGGTCTCAGGTCCCCTTTTCTCCCCTACAGGAGGACCTGAAGCCATCCGCTCCCCAACAGGAGGGTGAGACTGCCAAAGACGAAGAGGAAGTGGCAGAGGAGGTAGGAGCAGAGCTCCTGGGGTGCACCATGGAGGGTTCCTGGGTAGGGACCGCATGTCCCACAGACTCACTGTTTCTACCCAGAGCCCACAGGGGCCTCCTGACCTTCTGCAGCCTCCACAGG